CGCCCCCGCCCCGCCTCTCCACGGCGGCGGCGGCGTCCCTACCGGAGAGGACTAGGGAAAGGCGACCCGCTTAGAAAAACACTCAGCGGGTAGCATGGGGACACGAACCACCAACCTCCTCAAACCTCCTCACCTCTACACTCTGTTCATCCATTGCCTCCGACTCGCGGCGGGGCCTACAGCGACCCGCGGAGTCCGTGGTCTGACCTCTTAGGCGCCGGCCCGAGGTCGCCAGTTCAAACTGCCGCGGCGAACCACCCCGCGCCCACCTCAGGAGGCTCCAACGACGGCCCCGCGAGCGCGCCCCATCGCTTCAGGTTCCGCGCCAGCTACCCCCACTTCGCCATTTTATCCGCGTGCCCGCCCAACAGAGCAGTAGGAGGGCGAGAAGTGGCCGCAGGTCCTCCCTCCCGGCTCAGCCGCCCAACGGGGACCGCGAGACGCCGGCGGGCGGGCGGGCGCGCGCGTGTCGAACCGCTACTGAAGCCTGGCGCCTCAGGTCTCCAGCGAAGCAGGCGCTGCAGGGAATTCACAAACACCTACGGTAACCAGGGCAGCTGGAGGCGCGGCGGCGCAGAAAGGCGCTGGCGCGCATGCGCGCAGGACGCAGCGTTAGAGGAGCGGAGCCGAGAGGCGGGCACCTAGTTCCCGCGGTGCGGAGGCGCACACGAGATTTGGCGGCTCCCTGCGGCAAGGTAGCTCGCCTCCGACCCCTGGATAAGGCGGGCATGGGCAGGGCCCCGCCCCTTCAGGAGAGGGGCGTTGCCCCACCGATCTCAAAACTTGCGCGCGAACGAGCAGAGCCACCTGGAGTGCACGTGAAAAACGTAAACTGCACAGCCACACCCCTAGGTATTTAGACTCTGATTCTAGGGTAGAGACCCCACTAAATCCGCATTTTCAACAACCTCTCTCGGTGATTTTGGCTGCAGGCGGTGTATGGCCCCCCCTTTGCAAAACCGTGGTGCAGAGGTTACCTGGCTAGTGATTTTTTTCTTTGGGAGGAAGCCGAGACTCAGGTTTTTAAGATTTCCGCTCCACCTGAAGCGAAGCTCCAGCCTGTGAAGCCCAGAGCGGTATAGCTTCTCATTTCAGGGCTGGGAGAACGGGACCACAGGTTATGTAGACATAAGACCCACACCACACCTGCATTTCTTGCCACGTGAGGTGCGCGGTTGCCATGAGACTACAAAGTGCAAAGCGGTATCAGCTGTATTCGGCTTTCCTAGATTGGAGGCCGCTTTCTACAATTCTGTATCGTAGTTTAAAAATTGCAGGAGTTGAAGGTATGAGACAAGAGGCGTGCATCAAATTCTTGATTTAAATTTAATTTTTTCTTTCTAGTTTGTTGCAAACAACTATTACACTTAGCCCAACCTAGAATACACGTGTAAAGAATCAACAATAACTAGAAAGTTATTGACTATTAAAGCATTTGGATTTTATTATAATTAGTGGGCAACAACTTTATGTGTCAAAAATTATTTATGTACAGGAACTTTATTAATATTAATTGCCTGAGCACTGAAAAAAATGAATATCTGTTACAAAAATGTAACTACATTAAAGGAGGAGGCCTTTCTGTTCTTGACATATTCAAACTGGACAGGACAATTTTAACTGGAGCTACTCTCCAAACCTTGTTTGTCAGTTATTGTAAGTTGGCCAATGGACATACATGATCATAACAAATTCTTAAAATTATATTAAAGTATAATTCTATAACCTGCAGACCTAACATTTGATGTATTTTTCCTAGTCGTTTCAATGCCTTGTTTTTATTACATATATGGAACTATCATTTATTGAAGGATTACTAAATACAGTGGGGCCTTGACTTATGAGTGTCCTGACTAACGAGTTTTTTGAGATACCAGCTGTACCTCCGCGGATTTTTTGCATTGAGTTGATAGAGTAATTTGAGTTAAGTTCCTTAACGAGCTCGGTCTCGAAAGGAATTAAACTTGTAAGTCAAGGCCCCATTGTATCCTTCAATATTTATCCTTCAAAACGAAACAACATTTCATTGTGCTTCCCACCATGCAGGCACAGAGAAGTTAAGTGATTTGCTCAGGGTAAAACAGCTGGAATTTAAAACCTGCTATTTACATCTCAGATATGATGTTAAAGCCCAATTTTAACTTTAGAACAGCAATATCTGCTTCCATTCCCCCATTCAGCATTCCCTGAACATTAACAGTAATAATTTATAGGCAAGTCTGACCTCCTATTGCATTGATACATCATGATATACATCAGCCAGATGTGTATGTATTACTATTGTAAATAATCCTGTGATTAACATTTATACCAAGATCTGTCCTGTAATTCGGACAATTACGTTATTGTCAAGTTATTTAAAAATAAATAGGGAAATACATACAAACACACAAAACTAGCAAGCAGCAGTTGGCAGTACTCTTCTGATTTCAATTTCTTAGCTTTCATATAGAATAAACAAGTACAATAATATAGGCTGGAGGAGAACAAAGGCCGTACTGTAATACAACAGGGGAGAGTCACAGAAGGAGATGTGACAACAGAAGCAAAGCCAAGAGGGAAATCGTCAGATGTTATGCTGTGGAAGAATGCAGGTAGCCTTTAAAATGGAAAAGGTTGACTCCCCTTCCCACCTACTCCAAAGTATCCAGGAGTTTCTGAAGAGATTATGTCAATTATCCTCTGTAATAAAAGGGTAATATGCAAATCGGCCAAATGGCGGAATGACTAGTTGCTATGATGCACACTGACCACCAGGGGGCAGACGCTCAACACAGGGGCTGCCCTCTGGTGGTCAGTGCGCATTCACAGGGGGAGCACCGCTCAGCCACAAGCCAGGCTGACTGCTGGTGAGCGGCCCTAAGCTGTCAGTCAGACATCCCCTGAGGCTCCCGGACTGCGAAAGGGCGCAGGCCAGGATGAGGGAACCCCCCACCCCACCCCCAGTGCACGAATGTTGTGCACCGGGCCTCTAGTAGAAATAAAGTTGCAATATATTCTAATTTTTTAAGAAAAAATTTTTAAAGCAATAAAAGGACTACATTTTATCAAGAAAATAGCTCAGTAGAGAACAAAATGATGAAAATATTGATTTTAAATATTTTTCTAAAAAGAAATACAATAAAGACAACCTAAAACAGCATTTGAAAGCAGAACTTATGTTGCTCAACATTAACAAGCCAAAGGAATAGGACAAAAATAAAAGAGGCTGTCACAGAGAAATCAGCTTATTACAAAGGTTAGGTTTTATGGGACACTATAGGTCACTTAGCAACCTCACTAATAATGTGACCACATCTTCAATTAAAATTTTCAAAAATAGAAAATTATATACATATGTAATTTATAATATAAATATTTTTCCATCTTTAATTTCCAATGCACATTCATTCACATTTGACTGATAGTACATGATTCTTTTGTGCATATATTTAAATTCTTTCCCCATTCCATCCTTTTTATTGAAGTTTATTCATATCTGTCCTTATATTTCCCTCTTGTGAAAGGCATCACTATCCAGTCACCCAGGCCAAATTTTCTCTTTCACCATATCCCACCTCTAGTTACCATATGCTAACAAGACATCTTTCTAAATCTCTCTGGAATTGATCTCTTCTCCACCAGAGTTCCCTTTTGCAAGTCCATTTCTTCATAAATCTGACATGTGAGATTTTAATTGCTCTACAGCAGTTTTCTCTTCTTCAGTCATTGGTGACAGCTAGAAAACAAATGACAAAGTCTTTTTTTCCAAAACCTTTAAAAGCTTCAACTATAATTTTAACAAAAACACTTTTAAAGACTGTTAATTTAACTTCTTAAATATATATATATATATTAACTTCATATATATATAATCTCAGAGAGGAAGGGAGAGGGAGAAACATCAATGAGGAGAAAAAATCATTGATTGGTTGCCTCTTGCACATCCCTCACTGGGAATCGAGCCCACAACTGGGAATTGAACCATAGCCTCCTTGTGTCCTGACTGGGAATCGAACCATAACCTCCTTGTTCATAGATTGATGCTCAACCACTGAGCCATGCCAACCATACTAGTTAACTTCTTTATCACAACAACAAATGTTTCCATAAGCTCATACCATGTATATGATACAAATTTCAGAAAGCAGGAGAAAAAATACATTAGTTGGCTATCTATATACAAAGTGCTTTGATGTTTGAGCTTCCAAAGAACTTGCAATTAAGTTGAAGAAACAGCCCTAGCTGGTTTGGTTCAGTAGGTAGAGCTTCAGCCTGTGACTGAAGGGTCCTGGGTTCAAGTCCAGTCAAGGGCACATGCCCAGGTTGGGGGCTCAATCCTCAGTAGGGGTCATGCAAGAGACAGCTGATCAATGAATCTCTCTCATCATTGATGTTTCTGTCTCTCTCTCTCTCCCTTCCTCTCTAAAATCAATAAAAATATATTTTAATTTATTTTTAAAGTTGAAGAAACAAGACCAAGATGTCAAACAATTTAAGGACTATAATTGGACAGAACCAAAGAAGTCAAGTCGAATGCTATATGTAAAAGTATTTTGATAAAGAGAGTAAACAAAAATAATCTGGAAGTTTCCTCAGAAGTAGAAACTTGGGCTAAATTTTGAAGGATAATTAAGATGCTTTTAGCTGCAAGTAAAAGAAACACATTTCAAAATGGATAAGTAATACAAGTTATTATTATTGCAAAATAAATAGGACAGACTTTAGGGCTGGTCTGTTCATCAGATAAAGACTCAGTTTTTCCCATCTCACAGCTCTGATATTCTTAAAGGTAGCTTTATCTTTAAGAGGTGATGCTAGGCATCACCTTTATACAAAATGTTTATACAAAAAAAGTTTTCACCCTGGCTGGTTTGGCTCAATGGTTAGAGCATCAGCTTGTGAACTGAAGGGTCTCAGGTTCGATTCCAGTCAAGGGCACATGCCCAGGTTGCAGGCTCTATTCCCAGTAGGGGGTGTGCAGGAGTCAGCTGATCAGTGATTCTCTCTCATCATTGATATTTCTCTCCCTCCCTCTTCCTTCCTCTCTGAAATCAATAAAAATATTTTTTTTTAAAGAAAGAAAAGTTTTCTCTTGCCAAGGCCCTCTCATTAGTGAGGAAACTCTTCCTCATTTCCCACTTCCAGGCTCCCTCTTCACATGTCAGCTGGGTTACAAACCCATTCCTGAATTAAGTTTACTTAAAGGAAAATCCATTCCCGTTGCCAATCAGGCACACACTGAAGCTGAGGATAGTGCCAGCTTTATTTACCTCAGGTATGAGGCTGTGAGGGACAGCACACATCTCAAGAAAATCAGTACTCTGTAAGGCAGGAAGGAAGAACATAGATGCTGAGAAACAACCAGCGAACAGTATCCCACATGTCAATTGAAAGCATTACCTCCAGGTCTGTTTGCTTTTGTAGTTCTTGTATCATGGCCATAGTCTTATTGAAAGTAGCACAAATGCGGCTCTTAATCTCTTTCTGCTCATCAGCAATTGGCTTAAAGCGTGCCTGCAAAGTTTGATATCGGGACTTTATTGCTGACAATTCCTGTAAGAGTGTAACTGGATTTTTCTATATCAGGAAAAAAATTAATATATATTAAATTGTGGAAGTGAAAAATTAAGCTTCTTTTAATAATTAAAATTTATGCAACACATTTTACCATCCATTTAATCAAACACTGCATTTTATTATACAACTGTGTAATAAGGATGGAAAAGGGGAAGAAAGAAGTAAGACTTAGATTCTATTCTAAAAAAATTTAAAGCCTAGGTGCAGAAGTACAGGATAGGGAATATAGTCAATAATAGTGTAATAATAGTATAACCTGTATGGTGTCAGGTGGGTACTAGAATTAATGGGGGGAATCACTTCGTGAATTATATAATTGTCTAATCACTATGCTATACACTTGAAACTAATATAAAATAATACTGAAATATCAACTATAGTAAAAAAATAAATTAAAAAAAAATAAAGCCTATGTACAGAAATAGCTCACAAAAAAAGCAACATTAAACAGCAAATAAGGTCACTTTAGATACATATTTGATGCATAGTTCACAACAATTAATTACATAATATTTCTAAAATACAATTCTAAATACTATTCATAAGATGATTAAAGGAACTATATTAATTTGTCATTAAAGAATAAGATAACTTGAAGCCACTTATAAATTCTTAAACATACTGCCATGAGGCTTAAGTATGTATAAATACTAATTCATTGACTTCACTATATAAATAATTCAAGTCAGCTCAAGCAACTGTATTTATAAAGGGTGTCCCAAAATTCATGCAAGATTTGAATTTAATGGTGCTCGCTATCGCGATATGATAATCCAGTTTTTTGTACCTAAATTGCAAGATATGGATGTGGATGACATGTGGTTTCAACAAGATAGTGCCACATGCCATACAGCCCGAGAAACAATTCAATTACTGCACAAGTCATTTCCCATCAAGATGAAAATGAGCCTCATCGAAATTCAGCCACATTTATGCAAAAACGGTCATGGAAAATTTCAACAAAAGAGTGCATATGTGCCAGCAAAGCCGTGGAGGCCATTTACCCGATATGCTATTCCATACATACCCCTATACTGTATACTTTGTGAATCAATAAAAAATTTACAATTTTTAATTATAAACCTGTGTTTTCTATCAAAATTACTTCTTGCGTGAATTTTGGGACACCCTTACATTACACTGGTTTTTCAAATTCTTTTTAAAATATAGCCACTATTCCATAAAAGACATTTTTTACTGTATTTTTCCAGTTTTTCTACTGGAGATCTTTTATCCAATACAATGTCCACTATCTAGAAACATGGTAGAAAATCTACCCCTAAGGATGAGAGGGGGTGTATAATGAGTAGATACTCCTAAAAGCATCTTAATATATATTTGATGCTATTTATTAGTTCTTTGACCATATCAAACATACTAAGTATTCTTTTTTCATGGTGTCTATCTTCTGTTCCTTTCCTACTTGTAATGGCCATGCCATAGGTCTTGATCATTCTCTGCAGAATTATTTTATCAGTCTTTTTTTTTGTAGTATATTTTCTATTTATTAAACTTTTAAATATATATTTTTATTGATTTTTTACAGAGAAGAAGGGAGAAGGAGAGTTAGAAACATTGATGAAAGAGAAACATCGATCAGCTGCCTCCTGCAAACCCCCCTCCGGGGATGTGCCCGCAACCAAGGTACGTGCCCTTGACCAGAATCGAACCTGGAACCCCTCAGTCCGCAGGCCAATGCTTCATCCACTGAGCCAAACCAGTCAGAGCTATTTATTAAACTTTTATACAGTCATTCGGTCGCAACAGTCACTTAGGCTTTTATATAGATAGATAGACTGTTCTAGAGGTATCTATATTCTCTCACAATTTCAAAAGCTTCCACAATGGTTCGCATCTCCTGACTCAATAATTCTTTTATAAGTGTTAAAAAAATAAAATAGCCACAAATTTCCTTGACCATGGGTATAAAAATATGCTGTGACCAAGTTTCCAACATAAAAAGATTTTAAGATTCTATGAGGTCAGTACTTAATACTGTAATTATTATAATCACTACTATTAGAAATACTATCAGAAAATCTTTTGATAAAATATTCTGTTGAAAAGACATTGATTTTGCAGATTACCTCGCCTGCTGAATCAGGATGATTAGTCTTGATTTCATATTCCAGCCTGTATTGAATGTAATCCAGATCAGAATCAGCTTTCTGGAACTAAAAATCAGCAGAAATCATTATTCTGTGAACCAAAAGTCATATTAATAAACATGATCCTGCAACTATTCTTCCTTTTCTCTTTATATTTTTTAGTATTTTAATAATGTGATATACAACTCATTTTGAAAATATGGAAATAAAAAAGTATAAAAAAACCCTAAATGGTCTATTAACTAGGCTATATTAAAAATTTCTTAAACTAGCTAACATTTTGAAAATCATTTCTCTCTGCATGTGTCTTAGATTTTGAGCCAAAATTAAAATACCAAGAAGCCACCACCATCATATATTAATACAGTAACTAACAATGTCTTCAAGAACTCCCTAAGGTCACTGACACCCTCATCAGTTAGGCAGTGGTTTTTCCTCTCTCGTAGGAAATGAGGTTTCAAGTTAAAACACAGAACAAATTTATTTTCAGGGATCCCTCACAGTTTCCATGATCTGCAACCCTATTATTCAAAAAACTACAAATTAATGCTACACAGACCAAAATTAGAGAGCTTAAAGTCACAAATTATGCAAGGAAAACTACATACTAGTAGGCCACAAAAGTAGCCATCTGAATAGACCCAATTTATTGAACGTAGGTCCTAGGATAGAACCATCGTCTGTAGTACACCTTTCATGGGGAAAAAAAAAAAGGGAAACCTACCACAGACCTAAATATGTGTATGTACATATAGAAAAGCTGGAAAGGATATCTAACAGAAAAAGTAGTTTAGTGCTCGCTTCAGCAGCACATATACTAAAACTAGAAGCCCAGAGCACGATTTGAAATTGCACAGCACCGCCCACCCTCGAGTTGCTGGTCCAGCCCTGCCTCGCACCCCGGGCCCAGCAGCAGCCGCAGCTGCTGCTGGTCTGGCCCTGCCTCCCTCTCTGGCCCTTGAAGCAGCCGCAGCCGCTGCTGATCAGACCCTACCCCTGCCGCCCCGCATCCGACACTGCACATGCAACCTCCTCCTGTCTGGTAGACCCATTACGGTGTCCCGGTTAATTAGCATTTTTCTCTATTATATATACAGATTGGAAAAATACAAAGATGATTAGCATGGCCCCGGCACAAAGATGACACACAAATTCATGAATGATTCCGTATTAAAAAAGAAAAAGTGGTTTATATCTGAATGTGTTTAATTTATAAATTATTCTTAACTTTTCAAAATTCTGCATCTTTTATATTATTTTAAAGCAGGTACTGCCTTGAATTTATCAAGGAAACATCCATGAGTTTACTATGGAAGGCAAAACATGATTTCCACAGGGAAATTGCCTAGCCTACAGCGTAGGAGAGTGCTTTGGGGATAGAGTTTGGACCTTATTATGAACTTAAGCTCTGAACTAAAGATTGGTTCTTAAAATTTTGAACCCTTAGTGGAAAGAGCCAAAAAAAACCCACTGTAAAAGTAGTTCTCAGGTCTAATGAGAAACAGTCTACAGATATTTCATTACACAAAAGGTAGATTAAGGCCTCTACTTTGGAATATAAAGTAAGATAAAATGGCTCTCAGAAGTTCAAATGCTTATAAGATCAGGAACTGTCATCATTGAATAAAATTTCAGAAAGAGATATACTAAAATTTCCATCACCAATTGCTCTCATCATTGACCTAAATTTGAATGGAAAATTTTGCAATTACCAAAGTTCTATCTTTATAACCAAAAATTTTTGGAGTGGAAATAAAAGGAGAGAGAAAGCCAGTTTTTGCTTTTAAATTTTTTCCAAAAATCTCTTAACAGCAAAGGAGTTGCTATGAGCCTAAAGAACAAACAAACAAACAAAAAATGTAGACATTGTTAACTTAAAATTTTTTAAAGTGTTTTCCAAAAAATAGAGGCGTTTTGTAATCTTTGTCCTACCCTATATGAGCAGCTGGCTTACGGGGGGCTGCAGAGCAGATTTTTGTGGATGACCTGCTGCCCTCCCATACTGCTGGCAGTATTGGAATAAATGCTCATATATGATTCAACCCTGTCTCTGCGCTTAATTGGCTCAAGTAGTGGCAGGCAGCAGGCACCCATTGATTGTTTGGTTACAAGGGCACATGCCTGGATCCCCAGTGTGGGGCATGCAGGAGGCAGCTGATCAATGATTCTCCTTCATCATTGATGTTTCTATCTCTCTCCCTCTCCCTTCCTCTCTGAAATCAATAAAAAATATATATATATTTTAAAAATCCAAAAAACAAAAAGAGGCTTTTCATGTCTTATATATACTGGTACTTCTTAGATTAGATGCCAAAAGTAAATTAATTGATAATAAGACTTCATAAACATACTAATAATTACTATATATGTACAGGTATATATAAAGAAATTACTGTTGGCATAATTTCCCATATTAGAATATGTAGGGGATTATCTTTTCCTTTATATAAACAGAGTGCGCAAACCTATATAACATGTGGATGAGAGAGTATGGGGAGGGGGATAGAGGAGAGGGCAAATCAAATTAAACAAAGGCTCTAAGCATTCAAGTACTGAATTGGTTTAATTACTGAAATAGACCACAATTTCATAGCTTTATATATAACACAAGGTTTTACATGATATTCTAAAGCATAATTTTAAATAAAAGTTTTTAAAACAAATTACCACAGAATTCTTAACATTATGGCATTTGTGGCTTTAGGGTTACTTTAAAACAATCTCTAATCTGGAAGCCCTTAATTGTTTATGAACCAGAAACTCTTAGGCCTATGAGGAGTTCTTTAAAATTATTTTATTGATTGATTTTATCAGAAACTCTTTAGAGAGATTTGTTATTCCACTTATTTATGCATTCACTGATTGATGCTTGTATGTTCCTTGACCGGGGATCGAACTCACATCCTTGGCATATCAGGACAATGCTCAACCAAATGAACTATCTGGCCAGAACCAGGACCTATGTGTTTTTTGTTTTGTTTTTTAAATATATATGCATATGTATTTATTTCAGAGAGGAAAGGAGAGGGAGATAGAAACATGAATGATGATAGAGAATCACTGATGGGCTGCCTCCTGCATGCCCCTCACCCGGGGATGGAGCCTGCAGTCTGGGCATGTGCCCTGACCAGGAATGAACCATGACCTCATGGTTCATAGCTTGACACTCAACCACTGAGCTACAACGGTTGGGCCCTCTGTGTGTGTTTTTAACTCAACACTTTAGTTCTGCTTAAAGTTTAATTAGCATAATCCCATAGTCCATTTAACAATGTCTTCTTGTTAAGAGAGTAGTTCCAGCTATGACTTCCTGTAATACCTGCAGGTCCACATGTGTTAAAATCCATCAAACATGCGCTAGCTGGTTTGGCTCCGCGGATAGAGCATCAGACTGCGGACCGAAGAGTCCCAAGTTCGATTCCAGTCAAGGGCAAATGCCTGGGTTGCGGGCTCGATCCCCAGTTGGGGGTGTGCAGGAGGCAGCCAATCAATGATTCTCTCTCATGACAATACAAAGTGTTGGTGAGGATGTAGAGAAACTGAAATCCTAATACATAGCTTTGGAAGAGATTTCAACAGTTTCTTATAAGATCAAGCATATATTTATCATGCTACTCAAGAGAAACAAAAACGTTATGTTTACACAAAGACTTGTAATACAATCTTTATAACAATTTATTCATAAATGGGTAAATGCTGGAAACAACCCAAAGTTGATAATGTGATATTCTATACAAAGGAATATTACTCAGTGACAAAAAACGGTCCAACTATTAATACATACAACATGGTCAAATCTCAAAAGCATTATGTTAAGTGTAAGAAACCAGACACACACACACACACACACACACACACACCCAGACACAAAGGCTGTATGTTGCATATAAGTACATTTACATGAAATTCTAGAAAAGGCAAGTAGTTGTCAGGGAATTTGGGAAGAAGAGGTTGACTGCAAAAAGGCATAAAAAGGGCATGGTGGTTACATGAGTATACACATTTGTTAAAACTCATCAAATTGTACTCCTAAAATTGGTGAGTTTTAATGTATGTAAACTATATCTTAATAAAACTGATTACAAAAAAATAGTGCTGATTCATACTTTATTATATCTCAATTACAAAGAAAGAACTTTAAATCAAGAATTCTTAAGTTTTAAATTTGAGCACTTACTACACGATGCACAGATTAAGATACAGGAAAAGTTATCATAGGAAATATATAACTGGCATTACTTTAATCACTTACTAATTCATTTTAAAATTCAATTAAATAATACCTAAGATTTGCCAGAGCCAATCAAAATCTGTTACAGAAAGTAGCAAATTATAAAGTACTACTCATTTAGATTAGCCTAAACAACTTTGGCTATAAAAATTATTCTCTTAATATATTTCATAATGCAGTGTTTTTTATTAGTAAAAAACTTTTTTTCAAATTATGACTTTTTAAAACACTTTGGTAATAACATTTTTTGTAATACAAAAAACGTTTTCAGGAACAAAGATTTTGGTAAACTACTCACAGACATTGAAGATGCAAGGCAAGAATCAAAATTCTGGTGTGCATCCTGCTTTCAGATGCTTTGACAATACTATTGCACTGCTAGTGTCAAGTACAGTAGTGCAATAAAGTCAGAGCATTCGTTAGCAGTAAAGGTAGAAAAGGAACACAAAAGCATCTTGCAAGAGTTGAAGCTTCAGTGAGAAAAGAATTTAAAGAAGAATTGCCATTTTGGACAGAAGACATGCAAAACCTAAGAACATTTTTATCAATGTTAAAAATAAATAAAAGAATCACACTTAAACATCAAAATGAGGTTGTTTTTTATGACTAACCTATGATTAATATTGAAATATAAACATACATATAGATAAAGTAATTTTGTAAATATGTCCTAAGTTTTACAAAGTTCAAAAATATTTCTGTTCTGCTGAGATATATTGGTTAGCTCCTCCATAGCAATTGATTAACTGCCATATAAAACAAGTCTTTTGAATAATATCAAAGAAAAAAAAAGTAAAATAATGCTTCCCAATCTCTATATACCCAATCTATCTCTGGAATATGCCCTAATATGCAAATAGACCGAATGGTGAAACAACTGAACAACCAGTTGCTATTATGTGCACTGACCACAGGGGGTGCGCGCAGAACATGGCAGGTGTCTGCAGCAGGCGGCAGAGCGTGGAACATGGCAGCATCAGCTGCGGCGGGATGGTGGAGCAGGTGAACGGGGGTGCCAGGCCAAGGTGGGGCACCAGCTACTGTCATAGGCGCGAGTTTCTGGTGGTTACTGAAAATTCTTTGCTCCCACATCCTTCGGTCCCACCCGGCGTTCACACCCGCTGCCAGCACCCGGCACCAGTCCTGATTGCTTGGCACCGTCAGTGGGTGCAAGTGGCAGCTGCCGGACCTTATCACCCCTGAGGGCTTCTCCACCTCCTCCTGCTCCTTAGGGTGATTGGGGCAGCAGCCGCTGCTCGCACCCACTGCTGGCACCGGCCCCAATGGCTCCGCGTCGTCAGCAGGTGCAAGCGGGACCAGCACCATCAGCATGTGGGAGTAGTAGTGGTGGGTGCGGGACTGTCCGAAGACAGGGGACCAGGGGCCACAGCGAGAAGAACCCAGTGGGGACATGGAGGATGGCCCGAACCCACCCCTGTGCCCACCACAGCCTCGCGACCCACAGTTCCTTTCAAGGTGCACGAATTTGTGCACTGAGCCCCTAGTTTAATCTAAAAATACAAAAAGCGCTTACCATCTTAGGGCTTTTTATCTAGTTTACAGACTTCCAGGGAATCAACGTATCCTAAACATGACATCATTAGCCCTACCTAGCTGAATATTATGAAAGGGCATTTTTAATTTTCAGTTAACCCCTAAAACATCAAAACATCTTTCTTAAACTTAAAAATCAAAGAGGCCCAGCTGGTGTAGCTCAGTGGTTGAGCATCGACCTATGAACCAGTAGGTATGGTTCCATTCTGGGTCATGGCACATGCCCAGGATTGGGGGCTGGATCCCCAGGAGGGTGTGTGCAGGAAGCAGCCAAACAATGATTCTCTCTCATCATTGATGTTTCTATCTCCCTCTCTCTCTGAAATCAATAAAAATATATATTTTTAAAAATCAAAGAGAGCCCTAACCAGTTTGGCTCAGTAGATAGAGTGTTGGCCTGCGGACTGAAAGGTCCCAGGTTCGATTCTGGTCAAGGGCATGTACCTTGGTTGCGGGCACATTCCCAGTGGGAGGTGTGCAGGAGGCAGCTGATCGATGTTTCTCTCTCATCGATGTTTCTAACTCTCTATTCCTCTCCCTTCCTCTCTGTAAAAAATCAATAAAATATATTAAAAAAATAAATAATAAAAATCAAAGAGAAAATAATAATGGAATAATAGGCAGGTGGCAGGCGAGAATGGGAGGGTGTCCAAAATGTAAATATTTAAGTATCAGGTTTCCTTGAATGCAAGCCAATTGACATCCTAACTGGTAAGAAATCAATTCAAAAGTCAGATGTAAGCCCAGAAATGGAAATAGTATCACACTATACTACCTTTTGTGCACAATCAGTGGTACCACAAAAGAAGGACACTAGACAAATACCCCTCATTAAGTGAAGGAAAAAGTTAGAGAACCCTACAATAAACTTATTTCCCAATTAGTAATGTTGACTGATGAAAAACCACTTTCCATTATTTTCATTAACCTTCCCTTAAATCAGCGGTTCTCAACCTGTGGGTTGAGACCCCTTTGGTGGTCTAACGACCCTTTCACAGGAGTCGCCTAAGACCATCCTGCATATTAGACATTTACATTACGATTCATAACAGTAGCAACATTACAGTTATGAAGTAGCAATGAAAATAATTTTATGGTTATAAACCATAAACATGAGGAACTGTATTTAAAGGGCCAGAAGGTTGAGAACCACTGCCTTAAATGGTCCAGTTCAACTACTTAGTTAGATTGAGCCTACGAAGAAATGAACAAAATTCAGGACAGCTGGAACTTGTCTTAACCTCAAATTCTGGGCCATATAAATCAGATATTAGAATATTTCAACTAAAAATCAGAGGATTGCATCAAAAATTATTTAGCTGGGCAAAGGATCTAAATAGACACTTTTCAAAAAGGACATACAGAAGGCCCAGAGACATACGAAAAAATGCTCAAAGTTACTAATCATCTGAGAGATGCAAATCCATATTTGTAAGGAATCCAAACCTTTAAACTGTGGTGCACATAGAGTGTTCATTCTTAGACGCTTCAGAGCCACTGACTACTGCGGGCAGGCGGCTGCCCCATTGGTCTCCGTACAGCCAATCACGCACTGCAGCCGCCTTTTAACAATACAGCATGATTTGATGAACAAAAATAGATCCAGAGACAAATGGCAGGGAGTGTGTGTGTGGGGGAGGGGTTGGGGGGGCGGTTAGAGAGCAACCAAAGGACTGATATGCATGCATATTAGCATAACCAATGGACACAGACACTGGGGTGGTGGGGGCTTGCCCGGGTTGGGAATGGGAAGGGGGGGTCAATTAGGTAAAAGGGAAATAAAAAAGACAATAAAAAAAATAAATAAACAAAAGCAAAAAAGAAAAAAAATTATTTACCTTTAGAATCTTAGAAACTAAACTGGTTCACAGATGTAAGGAATTCAAGAAGACCTCCTTTCTTCTTTTCCTCTTTTAAAAAGATTGTTTTAAAAACTACCCCATCATTCAAACATCTAAAAGTTAGAGTCTGGCTACCACATAATTCTCTAAAACCTACTTTTCCAGATGTACACTTAATCATTTTTTCCTTAAAATAAAATATGTTCATTCTATTAAAAAAAAGTCCTATGAGAATATTGGCTCAATATATTGCAAAGTCCAGAAAAGGCTTAATTGGTACCTCAAATAAACAGCCAACTTGAGGAGAGAAAAACTGTTAAAAGCAAAAGTAATATCACTTAGCATCTTACAATTAGGCAGAAGTGTGGATATGGAGGGAATTCAGAATGAGGGAGAAGAGCAAGACAATGTAAACATTTATGCCTGTAGATAGAATCAAACTACTAACAATTCTTTAACATGTTTTTGTGGTTGGGTGTTTTGTTTGTTTTTTTAAGAGAGTTAATGATAAAAATAACAAAACTTTGAACTAAACGTTCATTATTACTGCTTTTGGCAGCTGCAGAAAATCCTTCTTCTCTGCCATTTCTCTCTCTATCTCCAGCACCACCCCCCCAAACCCCGCAAATTTAAAACTCAAAACACTAGAAGCAACTGAAAGTTCAAATCGGATTTTTTTTTAATATTTTATTGATTTTTTACAGAGAGGAAGGGAGAGAGATAGAGAGTTAGAAACATCGATCAGCTGCCTCCTGCACACCCCCCACTGGGGATGTGCCCGCAACCCAGGTACATGCCCTTGACCGGAATCGAACCCGGGACCCCTCAGTCCGCAGGCCGACGCTCTATCCACTGAGCCAAACCGGTTCCGGCTCAAATCGGATTTTTATATGAGGGACTACAATTCATTAATACATCTAAGAAAAATCAGTTATATCAAAGTCTCCCATGTTCTGGGGGGTGGGAATAGGGGCGAGGATGGTATTCAGTTTCTTCCAGGATCATTACATGTGCGGATGGTAAAGCGACCCAAGATTCAGCTTGGAGAGGGCAACACAGGCAAAAAAAAAAAAAAAAAAAAAAAAAAAAAAAAAAAATGATACCTAAAAAGTAGTGACAGAGGAAAGCAAGGCGAGAAGGGGCGGATTGCGAGTGGAAAAGATTTTGGCTTCTCAATCTTATTTTTCTTTAACGGAAAAACCGACGGGAGCTCAAGGATGGGTGTGTCTTCCAAACTGCACGTTTTAAAGGAAGCCAGTCCACTCAAAAAAGCTGGTAATGCAGGTGAGAAAGGAGGGCTGAAGATACGGAACTACAAAGAGAAGGAAAAAGCGCGGGCGATCAAGCTGGCAGTCCAGGGACGGGAGGGAGAGAATAAAGAGGACAAGAGAGGATCCATAGAAGAAAACTGGAACAGCTCTCCAGCGAGGCGCCCTCGCGCAGGCCGAGCAGCAGAGGGAGTCCTTTCCAATGATTTGCCCCCGCCCCCAACTTTCACAAATGAATGAAACCCGGAGACTGGAGAGCAGGGTGCCTTCCTGGTTCCAATCCTGCACGCGCACCGGGAAAGGAGCTCACGGTTCAGGCGCCCACCGCTCCTTCCCCCATCCCAGGGTGGGCTGCCTGTCCCCTTAGGGCCAAACAAAAACTCGTCTAGAAGCGTTCTTGGCCTCTAGGAAGTGGAGCGCGCAAGTCTAAGCATCCTTCTCAGGCTTTTCAGCCCGCCGTGGAGGATGCAAAAACGTTCAGCCCTGAAGGGGTTTCCCTCCACCGCACTCGGTTTATCCCCACCCAAACCCACCCTCCATCCCTCTTTTCTGGGTGTGAACGACCTCTCCCCTAATGGGACGTTTTGGGACCATTCCAGTCTCATCTTTTTGGTAGAAATACAAGCGTCTGCACCAGCCACAGGTCCGTAAGGTGCGGAAAGGTGAGGGCAAGGAACAAACAATCCCACTGGCCCCACACCCTCGGCATCTCCCGCCATTTCCCTCACCAGTCTCCCGGATGTAACCCTTCCTCCCCCGCCCCCCTCCCCCCGCGGCGGTTAGAAAACCAGACGGCGGCGACTCCCTTTGGTGCAGGAGGAGGGAACTCGGGGTCTAGTCCAGCCTCCGCCGCCCAGGGTTTCCGGCGACTCTGAATTGCTTCCCACCTTGGAGGCCACAGGGGAAAAAATAAACTACCCAGCAGATCTCCTACACTTTACACTCACCATCAATTCCAGCTTATCGACCTCCTCCTCCATGTTGAATAGTTGACATTCCTCAGGCCCCGGCGGCGCTTAAGGCGCAAACCGTACTAGCACTGAGCGTCCCTATTGGACAGCTGTCACTCAACATCTTGCACTCATTGGCTGCTCCGCTTCACCGGCGCCCGCCCATTGGCGATTAGGCAACGCCTCTCCTCATGTAACACCTTTTCCAGTTGGGCAAAGACACAAAATGCCGCCGGAGGGTTGGTTGCTGTATACTTATATTTTTACATTGGCTGCATCCTCATCTCTAGTTTCAATTTCATAGTTAGGGCTCAGCCGAGAAGACTGCGATTGGTGCCATCGGAAGAAGAGCCAACCAATGACACAAAGGCTTCCACAAAGCGCAAACGGGAAGTGACACACCTTCTTTCCTCTCCTGCCTCCCTTCCCCTTCACTCCCGCCTTCTCCTTATTCATACGAGAAGCGCCTCAGCTCTAATTGGCCGAAGCGTGTTGTCGTCTCAGCCAATCACAAGCCAGGCCGTGCTCCTACGTTACTGGGAGACCTGTGCGTGGGGAGACCGCGATTACGATTGGTCCCTTCTCCGTCAGGTTTTAATTTTGAATTTTTCTTCATGGCGAGGGCGAGGCCACTGCCTGGACTTCATCTAAATCCCCGGCTCTTAGACTAGTAAGTGCAGGGATATCTTTTCTTTGTCACCTGGGCTCGCGTCTTCCATGGCGGGGGCTGTTGCTGCTTGTGTTCCTAACGGTTTACGGAGGTGGGGACTTTGGCAGGACTCGGAGGGGAGATGGAGCGGGGCAGAGGAGGTCGAGGCGGGTAAGAAGTGGTCCGCCTGGTGCCACCCTCATCATATTTCTATTTAATTAACACTCTGAAAATTTTGTTTTGGAGGAAAGTATCTGCCTTCCTTTTGCACAGTCCTTTACATCTTTGCTACTCCAAGTGCGGTCCACGGACCTACGGCATCGACATCACTTGGGAGCTTGTGCACAATGCAGGTTATTGGACTGCACCCAAACTTACTGAATCAATAATGCGTTTTAACAAGATTCCTCACTTACACAGACACAGTGATTCTCATGCACATTAAAGTTCGAGAATGTTAATTTCTTGACAGGTAGTATTACTATAATCCTTCATCTAGTCTTACTATCATCCCACAGTCAGTGAGAATGTCAACTTTAGAAGTATGCCCTGTATACTATGTTCCTAATACTGTGCTGGACTAGAGTTAAAGAGCTTTAATTTCTAAAGAAAAAAAAAGAACCAGGAACTTAAAAAGCAATGCTGTACAGCATAAAATGTAAAATTAAATATATGAAAGTACCAGAAAAGCCCTACGGATGTTCAAGAGGAATCAATTGAACTGGTTGGTAATGGAATTTGATTAATGGACTGAAAGCTGTTTATGGGAAAGTGTAAGAAACCTCCATAAAAATGTGTTTAGGAAGATATATGACATAAAATACATTCTATTACACGCACACCTATACAGAAAGAGATAACAGATAATTGGTGAATCTAAGTGAATGATATGAGTGTTTAGTACCCTATTCTTTAATTTTTCTCAAGGTTTGAAAATTTTAAAAATAAAAAGAATAGATGAAAATAGGTTATAGCAAAAGACAAAAAAACAGAAGAAAGCCCAAGGAAAAGATGGTAAAAGCAACTGAATTTAGAGGACAGAAGGGGAAGGGATGGTAAGGAGAAGGGACAGAATTAAGTTAGAGGAATATTTATGACTCATATATGAATATATGTATGTGTGTCATGTATAATACTAGAGGCCTGGTGTACAAATTTGTGCACAGGTGGAGTCCCTCAATGTGGCCTGCAGGGATTGGGCTGAAACTGGCAGTCCAACGCTGCCTGCCACTCCTGCCTGCCACTCCCACTCATCCCAGATCCAGCCCCTATGTCATTGCAGCTGGCTCAATTCCAGTCAGTCCTGATCGTGAGCCCTGCGTCTGGCGCCTGTCCCGAAGGGGATGGGAGGGGGGCCAGGACATGATCAGCCCTCTGGGTGGTCGGTGGGATGCCCTTGCCGGCCTGGAATCTGGATCCGTCCCTCTGATGTTCGTCCGGTTGCCGGTTGTCGAGAGTCACCTGGCAGCTGCTTTTATATCATTTCTTCCTTGTGGAGCGTCTAGGGATGGGAGGCAGCCGGTGCCTGAGGCCTACTTACAGGAGTCTGGAGGCACTGTCGGAAATGTGCCAGCAATGCCAGTCCATCGGTGCCTGGCCCGTTTTCTGGAGATTGGACCTGCAGGACTACTGAGGGAGTGAGTGGCTGCACCAGACTGGTGGGCCACTTGGACCGGTCAGTCAGCTGAGTGATGCTCCTGCTGTGGGAGTGCACCAACCACCAGGGGAAAGCTCCTGCATTAAGCATCTGCCCCCTGGTGGTCAGTGCACATCATAGCAACCAGTCGTTCTGGTCCTTCCGCCCTAACTGTTGCTTAGGCTTTTATTATATAGATAGATACTTTATATATTTTCTCTACAATGGAGTATCCTAATTTCTTCACTTATTTTTTTTTATTTATGTTGTGGTATAGATTCTTTGTAATTGGCCTTAAAATCTTCTCAAAACAGGGCACGTAAAAAGGAAGGAAGAATACTTTTCAATTAAAAAAAAAAAGGAGAGCCCTAACCGGTTTGGCTCAGTGGATGAGTGTCGGCCTCTGGCCTGAAGGGCCACAGGTTCGATTCCAGTCAAGGGCATGTACCTTGGTTACGGCACATCCCCAGTAGGGGGTGTGCAGGAGGCAGTTGATTGATGTTTCTCTCTCATCGATGTTTCTAACTCTCTATCCCTCTCCCTTCCTCTCTGTAAAAAATCAATAAAAATATATTTAAAAAAAAAAAAGGAAAAATGCTTTTAGTGATCATGGAAGAATGAGCTTCTACCTAGTATTAGTAATTGGAATCGCACCTAACCCAGCAAAAAGAATTTGTATGTTTTTATTACTCTTTTGGAAAGGGGACAGTTACAGTATATATGTTTTTAATCCCAAGGAAAATTACTATATAGTCTTTCAATAGGATAGTTATCCTCTACAGAGTAGAAAGGATATGCTTATTGATGAGAGAGAGAGAGAGAGAGAGAGAGAGAGAGAGAGAGAAGCATCGATGTATCGATGTGAGTGAAAAACATCAATAGGTTGAGAGAGAGAGAGAGAGAGAAGCATCGATGTGAGTGAAAAACATCAATAGGTGGCCTCCCATATATGCCTGACTGGGGATCGAGCCCTAAACCTTTTGGTGTACGGGACAACACTCCAACCAACTAACCAACTGAGCCACACAGACCAAGGGTGTAATAATTTTAATAAAGCAATGAAAATAAAACAAGCCTTAGCTTGCTGAGTCCTTTGTCCTATTTGAGGTAGAAATTAATTATCTTTAATTTTTGGAAGAGCTGTGATGATTATTTTTAGATATATTTTATTGATTTTTTACAGAGAGGAAGGGAGAGGGATAGAGAGTTAGAAACATCGATGAGAGAGAAACATCGATCAGCTGCCTCCTGCACACCTCCTACTGGGGATGTGCCTGCAACCAAGTTACATGCCCTTGACCAGAATCGAACCTGGGACCTTTCAGTCCATAGGCGGACGCTCTATCCACTGAGCCAAACCAACTAGGGCTTCAAGAAAAAAAATTTTTTAATATATTTTTTCTCTACAGAAATCATGCTCAAGTTCAAGCAACAAAGAAGGAAGCGAAAAGTAAAAGCAAAAAGATTATTTAAAAAAAAAGAATTCTCTCACTTTCAGTCCAAGCCAGTTACACCTCCCCCTCCACCATCCTCAACAGAAAGGTAAGGCATAATGTGGACCAGAGAAAAATATTAAAAATCCCATCAGTTTAAGATCAAATTACTAGATTTAGCAAGTGAAGATACAGAATGCCCAGTTAAATTTGAATTTCAGATAGACAATGAGTTTTTTCTATTGTCCCATGCAACATTTCTAATATACTTATACTAAAACTTATTCAAATTGAATTTTAACTGAGCATCCTTGAATTTTGTGTGGCAACTATAGTCTACGAGTTCAAATGAAGTAATGATCACAAGGAATTGTGTTGGAGGTGCACAATAACTATTTTCTCTTTCTTCCTCAATTTAATTGCATAAATATGATAACCAAGCAATGAAAGCGAGGTATAATATTGGAATTTAAATCTCAGTTTTGGTAAAGTTTGGTCAGTATTCTCTGGGACTCAGGGCTTAAATGTGTTATTGAAAGAGACTCTAAGTTCTAGGGACCCAAGGGTACTTTGTCACAATAACAATTTATACATTTTGTTGTTTTAGCTCTCTTTACAGAAAAAATTTAAAACAAACAGGCCCTCAAAAAGCAGTTACCATGATATCATTCTCTTTTCCATTTCTCCCCAATATTGAGAAAGTCCCTAACTGGTCTTTCTGCTTCTGCCTTTTCGCCCTCTGCAGTAAGCCTGTTAAAATCGTGTCATATTGCTTCTCTACTTAAAGCTTTTCAATATCTTCCTCTCTCAGAGTAGAAATTAAAGTCCATAGTATGACCCCCAAGGCCTTTATGATCTGACTCTGACATTATTTCTTAATCCTTCTCCCTTCTATTTCTCCACCCAAGTCATCCTGGCCTCCTTGCTATTCCTCAGACACCTCAGTGAACTTCCACCTCAGGGCCTTTGCACTCGCCCCTGATGAAATGCTCTTCTTCTAGATATTTGAATTGCTAGCTTCTTTATTTCCTTTAGGGTTCCCCACCCCCTACCCCTCAAAAGTCTCCTTCTCAGTGAGAGTTTCCCTGGCTACCATATCGAAAGTTTCATCTCCACCCAACATTTCACATTCCCTCTCTCTCTATCTTTTTTAAAAAATATATTTTATTGATTTTTTACAGAGAGGAAGGGAGAGGGATAGAGAGTTAGAGACATCGATGAGAGAGAAACATCGATCAGCTGCCTCCTGCACACCCGCTACGAGGGATGTGCCTGCAACCCAGGTACATGCCCTTGGCCGGAATCGAACCCGGGACCATTCAGTCCGCAGGCCGACGCTCTCCACTGAGCCAAACTAGTTAGGGCCTCTCTCTATCTTTTTCTTCTTAGCATTTATGCACTAACAACCCACATATGTTATTTATTTACTTATTTTTATCTTTCTTCCATTAAACTGTTAACTCCACGAGGGTAGGGTTTTTGTCTATTTTGTTCATTACTAAATCCCTGATTCTTATTTATTTATTATTTCATTTATTTTATTTGTTATTGTTTATTTACTCAACAAATATTTGTTGCATAAGTGAATCCCAGAATTCTAGAATTACTGAAGAATTTGACTTTAGGAAGTCTCTGTTCCTGACTTCTACTGTAAAACTAGCTTGTTGTTTAATTAGGGGCTATGATTCCAACTCAGGAGTTTTTGCTTTATTTGGTTTTGTTTTTCCCACAGAGTGGTTATTTCTTCAACAAACACACCTCTTATCAGAACCTGGCTAAGATCCTCCTGGAATTTCAAATTTCCCAGTATCAAAGATGCAGTAAAACTTTGGACAAATAGTTTTATATACTTTGGACGGTTTATATACAACTGGTGTCAGAACTGCATAGCCCAGGTATGGGTTTGACATACCTGTTTCCAGCACTACACACTCGCTATCTGTGTGCACTCAGGTCAGCACAGCACTCAGGCTAAACTCAGATAAGATGAAGTTATGGGGTCATGTCTGCCTTTGTTTTTATAAAACAAGACCACTTTCTTGTCCTCTTTTCTTGTCTTTATCTTATTGCTCATCAGAGTCAGGCTTGTGTATTTTTTAATTTTAGAGCTTAGAAGTATTGAAAGATACCATCTTTCCTTCCCGTTTCTGCCACCAAGAACTTCAGAGTCTAAAACAACAGTTTTGCATTTTGGAAAGTGAATTATGCAAGCTCCAGGAAGCACTGAAGGTTAGTATCCTATATAATAAAAATCTAATATACAAATCAATGGAATGGAGGAATGACCTGGTATGTGGGGGGTGGGCCCAGCAAGTGGCTCCAGGCCAGCCAAATCAGGTGCCAGCGGGCAGAGGGAGTGGATGGCAATCAGGGGTCAGCGGCGGAGGAGCGGAAGGGCCGGCCACTCACCAGCTGGCACCATCCTCCGATCGGCCTGCTGGTCGCCTCCTGTAGAGAAGTGGGCCTAAGCTGTCAGTCGGACATCTCCCGAGGGCTCTCGGACTGAAAGAGGGCGCAGGCCAAGCTGAGGGACTCACCCGAGTGTACAGATTTTCATGCACCTGGCCTCCAGTTATCAAATAAAAAACAAATCTGGGTCCTTAGCTGGTTTGGCTCAGTGGATAGAGCGTCAGCCTGTGGATTGAAGGGTCCCAGGTTTGTTTCCGGTCAAGGGCACATGCCCAGGTTGCAGGCTCATGCCTAGTAAGGGGTGTGCAAGAGGCAGCGAATCAGTGGTTCTCTCCCATCATTGATGTTTCTATCTCCTCCCTCTCCCTTCCTCTCTGAAATCAATAAAAAATATATTCAAAAAAACAAAAAATAAATCTGGGATTTGGTAAGAAGGGAAGGGGTTGTCACCCATAAGAATCTCAATGTGCTTTTACTAGAAAAGGAATGACTGCAGGTGAGTGCTAATCCTAGGCCTGTTTGCCCTCAGATCTGTTCCTTAAAACACTGAGGCTCTGCTCCATATTGCAGGGATGCTGGCCCCTTTATGTTACGTTCCCCAAGCTCCGTGTCACCTGGTTCATGGTTGTGCTAGACTAACAGTAGACGTGGATGAGAGACCAGAGGGAGGGAGGGGATAGAGGAGTGATGGCGAACCTTTTGAGCTCAGCGTGTCAGCATTTTGAAAAACCCTAACTTAACTCTGGTGCCGTGTCACATACAGAAATTTTTTGATATTTGCAACCATAGTAAAACAAGGATTTATATTTTTGATATTTATTTTATATATTTAAATGCCACTTAACAAAGAAAAATCAACCAAAAAAAATGAGTTCGTGTGTCACCTCTGACACGCGTGTCATAGGTTCGCCATCACTGAGATAGGGTGTTTTTCCCCTTTCATTTTCTGTGTTGGGCGATTTCCCCAGCAATGGCTGTAATTGTTTCTCAAATTCCAGCTCCCTCAGGTAAGTCTGCCCCATTTTTTGATTCTCTGGGTTAACCTAGCTCCAGAGATCTGCTTCTACTGCTCTTTCCTTTGTCCTTCCATTCGCAGGATATTCATAGCTTCCTGCTCTTGAATACTTCTGGGCTGCCTCACTGCCCCCTGTGTGCTTCTCATCTCTTCCAGCAACAGTGGGACCAACTGCCTTCATTACATTCCCCATCTTTGAAATACTCAAGGTGTTTTTATTTTCTTGACTAATAAAGGCAGGAAAAAAAAACACCCCAAAACTGTAAATATCCAACCCCTTCACTCTCCTGAGCAAGGCTACTATTCTCAATGTCCAAAACTCAAAAGAATAAACATCGTACTCATTGGTTTAGAGAGAAACCTCTGAGGTTATATCCCTGCTCCCAGAATTTGTACCTCAAGATGAACTAGCCAGATAGGGGAAGACAAATCCCCTCTCGGCCTCAGTTTCATTATCTCTAAAGTGGGGATGATGCCATCTTTAGTGGGCTGAGTGACGGCCCCCCCAAAAGATATGTCCAAATCCTAATCCCTTGGAACCTATAAATATTAGCTTATTTGGGAAAAGAGGTCTTTGCTGATAAAATTAAGAATTTTGAGATAAGGAGGTCATCCTGTGTTACCTGGGAAGAGACTACATCCAATGGAACTTCATAGTCTAAATAAAACAGCGGTTTTGCATTTCAACAAGTGAATTGTCCTTATAAAAGAGACACACAGCCCTACTGGTTTGGCTTAGTGGATAGAGCGTCGGCCTGTGGACTCAAGGGTCCCAGGTTTGATTCCGGTCAAGGGCATGCACCTCCCCAGTAGGGAGTGTTTGATTTCGGACTTGTAGGCGCCAGCACTGTGAGAAAATGAATAAATGAATTTCTATTATTTTAAGCCACCAAGTTAGTGATCATTTGTTACAGTAGCCACAGGAAACTAATATACCATCTTACTTCATAGGATCATTTTATTCGTTGCTAGGGCTGCCATAACAAAGTAGCACAGACTAAGTGTCTTATACAGCAGAAATTTATTTTCTCACAATTCTGGAGGCTACAAGTCCAAGATCAGGGTTGGGTTGTTGTTCTTTCTGAGGCCTCTCACCTTGGCTCGCCTTCTCAGAGTGTCCTCACATGGACTTTGCACTGTGCACGCCCATCCCAGGGTTGTCCTGTATATTCAAACTTCCTTTTTTATAAGGACACCAGTCAGATTGGATGAAAGCCCACCCTGACAGCCTTATTTTACTTTAACCACCTCTTTAAAGACCCTATCTCCAAATATATTATGGAGTACTGGGAATTAAAACTTCAACATATGATTGGGGGCGAGGGGAGTGTACACAAGTCAGTCCATATGGTCATGTTATAGCCCCTTGGCCTTTTTATCAATTTCTTGAATATACTATACTAGAGGCCTGGTGCATGGCGTTTGTGCACTGGGGCGGAGGGGAGAGGAGGGTCTTGCAGCCTGCCTGTGCAGTCCGGGACCCCTCAGGGGGTGTCCAACTGCCAGCTTAGGCTTGCTCCGTGGCCAGGTAGTCGGACATCCCCTAGGGGTCCTTAGCACTGCTGCAGAGGCAGGAGAGGCTCCTGCCACCACCACTGCACTCGCCAGCCGTGAGCCCGGCTTCTGGCTGAGTGGCACTCCCCCTGTGGGAGTGCACTGACCACCAAGGGGCAGCTCCTGCATTGAGTGTCTGCCCCTGGTGGTCAGAGCATGTCATAGCGACTGGTCATTTGGCCGTTGGGTTGATTTACATATTAGCGTTTTATTATATAGGATTCTTGGCTGCTAAGTATTTTCCCCTCTGCTAGGAATTCTCTTTCCCCAGTCCTTATCTTCCTTCGCATGATAAATCTCAATTCATCCTTAACATTATAGCTAAATGTTGCTCCCCAGGCTTCTCACTCTTTATGCTCTCAGCACACTTCATTACTCTTATTATTTTATTTGGTTTTGAGCATATCGTGTGTGTTTAATGTCTGTGTTCCTCACTAGACTGTCAGCTCCATGAGGTGGCACACAGGGCTGTCATTGGCCTATAGTGCCTGACATATCGCATGCATAAAACAAATGTCTGAATGAAATTTAAATATATCATTGAAGATTGCCACTGTTAACATACTATTATTTATAATTCTAATCTTTTTCTAGGCATATCATCTATTGTTTATTATACTAAGATACATAATTGATTTAACTGAATAACTGAATGAATGAATGAACTTGTGATAAATGAGAAAATATTATGAAACATGATGTACTGAGAAAGTATTCTATATAGTACCTTTTACTTGAATGATCCTCGGCTACAAGAACCAAATTAATCCGTTATTTCTTTGCCAAATGTTATGTCTTCTTTCAGACTATTTCAGAAAATTCTTCCTGTCCGAGCTGTGGTCATCCCTGTTACATGAATGGTAAACTTACAAGAGTGCCTGCCTGTGCTCTAACCACCCCTGGAGAATCCGAATCCGGAGCTGTACTTCCTGCCACACTGCCAAAGCCAGCAGGCCATCTTCCTAAGGACCTTAACAGGAAAGCTATATTCTGATTCCATATCTTAATTATGTCAGTTACTGTGTTTATAAAAAAATCAGTCCCCTGGGAACTCACAAAAGCTGGATATAGAAATACAAGTGATTTTGTTTAAGGATAAATAAATATAATTTAGTAGAATAAAATATTTCTGTTGGCTTCTCAGCATATCTTTTATTTTTTTTTCTCCAACTAAACCAGTAAGTTTCCCTTGAAAAATGTCAGCATATCTTTTTACCAAAAGGAAAACCTCCCTGAGAAACCAAATTAAGAACAGAAGATAGCTTAGTGAGTGAACTCTGCATAAAAACAGTTGGTGGAGCCAGAGAACCAGTCTCCATTAGGTTTACTTATCTGTCACAGGGACTGAAATATTTGTAAGTCACTAAGATAGCCATGATCCTGTTTTAAAATCTGCTGAATTTTCACTGTGGATACATTTGATTTATAATGGCTGAGTTAAATCCAGAGCCTACAGCTATATTTGCCCTAATGTATACCTCTCTGACTATACATTTTTGCTGTATGGGAACTGGATCATCTTTTTACGTAGTTCAGGTAAACGTCATTTGATTTGAGGAACTATTTCAACTCGTATCTTGTAATGACTACTGAGGAAGATGCATAATTTCAGGAACTAGCTCATCTCTTATTATCAAAGTTGTACCGTTTGATGAATACCTTCAATAGCCTTAGTATCTTTGGGTACTGAAAACAGGATCATTCTTGATTAAGTGACAAGAATTTGATAGGTTCCTAGGGTAAATAAGAGTTAACTTTTAACTCTAGGTCTTTAAAAACTATATTATGATTTGCATTTGACTAGATATCATGGTTCCAAATTGAATTCTAATCTTTACATGTATTTTAAGGCTGGACCATTGAAAAAAGATGGACCCATGCAGATAACAGTTAAAGATCTAATGACTGTGAAATTAAAGAAAACCCAGAGTTCTGATGAAAAGAAAAAGGTAAGATATCATTGATCTACACAAAGTCTTTAAGCTATTAGTCTGATTGCCCCTTTATGGAAACAAAATATAAGTCTTATGTATAGAAGCTATCCCAACGTAAGTATTTGATGTCTTATTGAAGTAGTTGTGGATCTCTGCAACAAAATATGTAGATTCCAAAATTATTTAATTAGGCAGTTTTATGTGCCAACCATTAGTCTGAAGAGGTAGAGACATACTTCGAAGCTTTAGAGTAAAAATTGAGTGGAGTAGTGGCTATATCGCATGCATATCCAGCACTCAAATATTCATTGTTTCAGCATGTTTACATTTTGAATATTTTTAATGTGTTTTTTAATAATGTCTCATTTTGCAATTAAAGCTTGTTCCATCACCAAAGGTACGGAATCCGCTAGTTACCGTCTCTGACCTGCAGCGTGTTACCCTGAAGCCCAACTCCAAAGTGTTATCAACTCGAGTTACAAACGTCTTAATGTAAGAAATTACACCATGTTATCCTCTACCACTACCTAAAAGAATGTTTTTTTTTGCTTTTTTCTAACTTTAAAAATTACATATGTACATTGTAGAAAAAATGGTATCTACAAAAAAATTTAAAGAAGAAAACAAATATCATTTAACTAAATATATCATTAAAGATTCCTACTGTTAACGTACTATTATTTATCATTCTAATCTTTTTCTAAGCAGATAACAGATTTGGGGGGGGAAACAATTACTATCAAGAATTTTAGTAACTTATATACCTCAATAAAATAAATTTTAAAGCAGTTCGATTTCAGAAATAATAAAATATGAAAACTAGTGTGTCTTAGAATCAAGGAAACATAATAATACCTGTGTATAATCATATTGTAGATACAGTTATGACTTTTCCCATTCAGTGTGTCATGAGCTTCCCTCATCTTATTAAAAATTAATTTAAAGCATCATTTTGACTTCTTAAGTATATACTGTTTATTATATATAAATTTCATAGATAATATCTTGTTTTGAGACATTTAGGTTATTTATGCTTTTTTATTTCAATGAACATCCTTATCAATCATCTGTGTACATAACTGAGTTTTTCCTAAGGTGGATTTTTATACATGTAATTACTAAGTCAAGAAGTATTGCTCTGAAGAATTATATCATCTTATGCTCCTATCAACAATATCTATTGCTATTTTTTACTATTTCTAGGATGTTACCTATAAAAATGACTGCTTTGCTTTGGGAAAAATGATAAAATCTAGCAAGTTCTAATTTTGATGTCTTTATTTTATCAGTAATCCTGGTAAAAGTCAGATAGACCTGCGGAAACTACTTAGAAAAGTCGATGTAGAGAGGTAACACACTCTCTTATCTTTATGTTTTCTAAATCTACATGGTAATTGGCATAAAATACAGTTTCTAATAGTTTTATTACCTTTGCAGGAGCCCAGGCGGGACCCCTCTTACCAATAAAGAAAATATGGAAACAGGAACTGGACTGACCCCAGTAATGACCCGGGCCTTAAGGAGAAAGTTTCAGGTAAGCCTTTAGAAAAAAAAATTGGGGTGCCTTTTCTTCAAAATCATTTATTTAGAATCTTAATCTAAGGCAGCTTTCTTTTTAGAGAGAATCATTGATTGGTTGCCTCCTACATACTCACTACTGAGGTTTGTGCCTGCAACCTAGGCATGTGCCCTTGACCAGAATCGAACCCGGGACCCATCAGTCCGCAGGCCAATGTTCTATCCACTAAGCCAAACCAGCTAAGGCTAAAGCAGCTTTCTTCATCATCATCATCATCTTTAAATGATACTTTATGCTTTACAAAGCACTCACATATTTAGGCTTCATAAATTCTATGAGATAGTGAAGATTATCATCTTCACTTTACCAGTGACTGTCTGGTTTTTAAAATTCTTTTATTAAGTATTTATTAAACCTCATATGCTAGGGCACTGTGCTGGAATAACAGGGATATAGTGATAAGCAAAACAGACATAAATCTACTGTTTTGGAACTTACAAATAATCACATATATGGATAATCGTGCACGAAAATAAGTGCTGTGAAGGAAAGCAATAAGGTTCTGTAGAGCCCATGATTTAGGAAGGATTCTCCTAGGAAGTGATGAGGTGAGACTGGAAGGGTGAATAGGCATTTGCTGAGAAGGGTACCTTTGTAGTATGGGGGTGGGCCTCCCATGGATGTTATGGAAGAAAAAGTTCCAAACATAAAGAACAGCATGTGAGAAGGTCTCGCAGTGGGAGGAATCATGGCCTATCAGAGGAACTAAAAAGTAGCCAGAATAGCTGCTGAGAGAGCAAGTGTGACTGTGGTGCTGACAGGGATGGAGATGTCGCTAGAAGTCAGATCATGCAGCTTTTTTCTTTGTCATCTACATGTATGCCCACTCACCAAAATCCGGTACATCAGTTCACCTGTGATTTTTTTCCAAATCCTGTTTGTCGCTATCATTTCCCTGATCAGATCTGCACGGAATAGCTGTCCTTCTGCCACCCCTGCTAGAGTGCGGGGACACAAGGCTGCTGGCCTCTCTGGCTATGAAGCTTACATTTCTGTGACCTTCTGGCAGCAAAGACGCACCGTAGACTTCACCGCTGACTCTTCACCCCAACACTGTCCTCATTAAGAATCAGTGCCTTTTGCAGGACAGCGTGGTTTCTCTCTTGCCAATTCAGCTGGGTCCTCCTGGGACTATATGGTCTTCTTTGGAGGTGTGGCCAGATTCCTCTCTCCTCCAATAGGGCTCTACCTCTGGATTACCTTCTTTTTTGATAACACAGATTGTGAAGGACAGGGGAAGAGGGCAGAGGGCAGAGGCCTCACCGAAAGACTAAGCCCCTTCCTCCCCTTCTTCAGTTCTAGGATCCTTTTTGTCCCAGTGGGCTGGGTAATGTAGAAACAAATAGAAATATAATAAATAATATATCCACGTATTCAGCAACAACATCATAAATCACAGAGAGTCCCTATGCCCTATATGTGCTCCTCAAAAGTCACTTGCTAGGAGGACGTCTAGTAAAAAACTGTTGTTGAGCATAGAATGACTTCCCACCCAGCCATTCGGCTTCCTTCCTTTAACTTTGAAGCAACTGCATTCGTTAGGTCTTGCATTTGGTTGCAGGTAACAGAAATCTGACTACAGTGTCATAACCAGCGAAGGGCTTTTTTTTCTTACCTACATATCCCCTTGAGAAGCAGACAGTCTAATTGGTACAGCAGCTTCACCATATCATCGCTGCTTTCCCATCCTTAACGTGTGGCTTTGATTAAGGTGCAGAATGACTGTACTTCCTGAAGACTCATGTCTACATTCTAAGCAAGATAAAAAGTGCAAAGGACAAGAGGGCGTGCTAGCTAAGATATCCCTAATCTCTTTAAACAGGAACTTCTGATTATATCAGGGAAGTTGAGAAAATTGTTTTCTAGAATCTGGATGCATTGCTTCTTTGTACAAAATCTGGGTTCTGTTAATAAGAAAGAAGGAGAGCCATAACCGGTTTGGCTCAGTGGATGGAGCATCGGCCTATGGACTGAAGGGTCCCGGGTTCGATTCCAGTCAGGGGCATGTACCTTGGTTGTGGGCACATCCCCAGTAGGGAGTGTGCAGGAGGCAGCTGATCAATGTTTCTTTCTCATCGATGTTTCTAGCTCTCTGTCCCTCTCCCTTCCTCTCTGTAAAAAATCAATAAAATATATATTTAAAAAAAAATAAGGAAGAAGGAGAACTGTGTTAGCTACAGGAGCATAATTCACATTATAATTGAGACTTTTCTTTCTTTTTTTCATAGCTGGCTCACCCTAGAAGCCCAACTCAAACTCTGCCACTTTCTACAAGCAACTTTGATGAACAAAACTGATGCCAACTCTGCCTGACTCCATGTGATCATCCATAAAATATCCATAAAATCACCCCACTCCTTCTTTAAAAATGTAGTATGTATAAATAATTGTTCTAATTTATAATTCCATTTAAAGAATTACGGTATTATGGAGCCCATATTTACTGTAGATACTAGTAAAGTGGGTATTTGGATATTTTCTGGTTTGCATGATCAATAAGAGAACAGAATGGAAAATACAATCTCCAAAGTGATCTTCATCCTGGAATTACCCAATTTAGGTTGGAGAAGTTTTTTAAATTTAACTAGATAACTAATTTGTACTCTCTAGGTGCATTTATGACCTTAAGACAATAACCTAGTTCCCATTCCTCTTGGGTATTCTCCGGTAATTGAAAAGTATTTCAGCTTTTAAAGCTCATGCATTCATTAAGTGCTATAAACTTGATCAATAAGAAAGACCCTCTAGATTTTATTTATGTTCGTTATAAACAGTTAAGAGGTAAGTGCATCCTACATCCACACCCACCTATTTTCCAAAAGGTTTGAAAGCAAAAGGTCCAATGTGATCTTAAAAATTAGAATATATCATTTCTAGCCTCTTAGGTAGGGAGTCATGTCTGGCTCACTGAAGTCTGAGATATTCATTATTTTGATGTCTGCTGTCTACATTCATACAGCTAAATATAAATTTCATGAAGACTTCAGCCTGAACCTTGTATTGTCCACCGTGCCCTAGCAAGGATTCTTTGAGGTCCATAGCAGGTTCAGTATAAGACCTGATATCCTGTTGATTCAATATCAATAATAATGTACACCTAACTGGATTTTTGTTCTTTCCTGCCAATCCAGGTTTGCCAGATTTAATAAATATAAATACATGACAGCAATCAAATTTGAATTTCAGATAAATAACAAATAACTTTTAAATATAAATATGTCCCATTAAACAATGAATACTTTGTTTAGTATAATTATGTCCCAAATATTGCATGGGATATATGTATACTGAAAAAAAAAAAGTCAGCTCTGGCTGGTGTTCTCAGTGGTTAGAGCATTGGCCTGAGCACCGAAGGATCACGGGTCTAGGGCATGTACCCGGGTTGCAGGTTTGATCCCCGGCCCCAATCAGGATGCATGCAGGAGGCAACCCATCGATGTGTCTCTCTTTAATCGATGTTTCTCTCTCCCCTTCCTTCCACTGTCTCTAAAAATTATTGGGAAAAATATCCTGGGTGAGGACTAACAAAAAAAATTCATTGTTTACCTGAAATTCAAATTTAACTGGGCATCCTTTATTTGGTGACCGACGAGTCAGTCTCCTACAAATTTGCCAGGTACTTCTGGGAGGCCCCAGTTTGTCAGACACATCTATTTAACAGTGGGCACTATTATAGATCTGTCAAGGATCCCCATTACTAATGCTCTAAGTATCATGAAGGAAGGGAAACTCATTAGTGTGAGTGTGACTGAACATGCAGGACTGTCTTTAATGCTGTAACCTCCACTGCAGTTCCAGAAAGGTGGCTAGTAGTTCATGAATAGGGACCCAGGGGTTTCAGCTACATAGATGATAACCTTGAACTATCCCCTGGTTAGCTTAGGCTTAAAAGGTATTTTAGCATTTTCCAGAAATGCTTGTATTTCCACAGGTAAATATTGCTGTGAGGTGCCAAATAGTGTTATAAAAGTCACCGGACTGGAAAGCAGACCTGGGGATACTGTTTTGTTTTTATGAAATCCACATTTATGTTTACAGCACAGTTATAGATAAAAATTCAACAGATATTAGTTAAGAAACATATGTGCTTCCAATAAATTTTTTTTAACCTGCTAACTACATTTATATTATGTGTGAATAAAGGGAATGATAACTGAGAATAAAGTAGTTGAGCATTTGTACAAAATATTTTATTAGGCACTCATAATGTTTCTAATATTAATAAACCACTGTGTACTATATCGATTTTAAATTATGTAATCATTCTTGTAGAACAAAGGTGTATAAAAACATGTTATAGAAATTCTATAGATAAATATTTGTAAAGCTGCTATTGCCATTATACCAGTATTAAATTGTATTCTATGTTGCATCATTTAAAATTTTTATGGCAGATTTTATGTTGTACCCATTTGAGAATCCTGTAAATGTTATGCCTTCATTAAACTGTTGCTGATCATACGTTCCCAATGTTTATTTTGAGACTAAATGACAACCAAAGAATATAAACTACTACCATGGTACATCGGTTATGTTTTTAAATAAAGAGCAATAAAAGAGCCTTTAATTTTTCTCTTTTTTAATGTTTTCACCATAACCATAGCACACAGAGAAAGGTACATAAAATGTAAGTAAATAAATTAACAATTCATAAAGCAAACACTCATCTAACCAAGAAAGAGACATTATAAATGTCTTTAGAAGCCCTGACTGTCCCCCTCCCATATTATAATCCCTTTCCTCTAAAACTAATTACTGACATGCTTGTTACAATAAATATTTACTGTTTAGTCCTTTTAAGTATGCCTCCCTAAATGTGTGGTTTATTTTGCTTGCTTGGGAACTCTTATGTAAGTAAAATCATACATTATTCTTCTTTCACTAATCCTCAATCAGAGGATTTTTCCCCCACTGATTTTTTATTTATTTAAAATATGGAATGCTTTATGAGTTTGCATGTCATCCTTGTGGAGGGGTATTGCTAATCTCTGTATCATTCTAATTTTAGTATATGTGCTGCTGAAGCAAGCACTCCCCATTGATTTTTTAGAGTGGAAGGGAGTGAAAGAGAGAGAAAAACATTGATGTTAGAGAAACACATAGATTGGTTACCTCCTATATGGCGTCAGGGATTGAATCTGTAACCCAGGTACATGCCCTGGACTGGGAATCAAAACCATTACCCCCCTCGCTCTAACCACTGAGAACACGAGCCAGGGCTCTTCTGTCTTCTTTCAATCAACATTTATTTTTTTAAGGTTCAACCGTGTTGCCCCAGCTGGTTTCGCTCAGCAGATAGAGCATTGGCCTGTGGACCGAAGGGTCCCGGCTTCGTTTCTGGTCAAGGGCACGTACCTGGCCTGGGCCTTGGTCAGGACTCCTCCAGGAGGCAACCAATGGATCACATCGATTGGTTTTTTTCCAATCTCTCTTCCCTCTCTCTTCCACTCCAAAAATCAGTGGAAAAATACCCTCAGGTATGGATTAAAAAAAAAAAAGGATTCAACTATGTTATTGTGCAGTGCTATAAATCATTATTTTTGATATGTGAATTTGGTTATCCATTCTATTGTTAATGAACATCACGGTTATTTCTAGTTTTTGGCTATTATGAAACTTCTAGGTTACAAAGTGCCTATTTTGTAAATACTGTCAAACTGGATTTCCAAGTGATTGTACCAATCTGTGGTCCCTTCAGCAAAGTGTAACAGTTGTTTCTCCTGTTTTCTTCAAGATAGTCTTTTCTATTTGGTTTTTCAACATTTTGCTTACTTGGGAAAGCTATACAATGTGTGAGGTTAATATACACTATTTTTCCTGTATTTATAAGTCAAAGAATTGTTAAAATAATATGTCAGCAAAGTCACTTACTAAACATAGCAAATAATCTCCATGTTGAGGACCACAATGTAATTTATGTGAATGAACATGCGGATGTTTTCATTTTAGTTGGCTTTTCAAAGAAAAATAGGATCTGGACATGTAGAAGGGAGGGAACAAGTAGAAAAAGAATTTAAAATAAATTTTTAAAGCCCACCACTACTCCTTTCTAAAATCTTATGAGTTGGTTGAGAAGAATTACTGGAAGCCAAATATAGCCTAATATATTAAAAACCCCAAAACCACCCACCACAACTTAGGGTCCCACCATTTTATTGAGATACAACTAACATATAACATTAGTAGTTTAAGGCACACAACGTAATTATTTGATATATGTATATATTGCAAAATTATTTCCACAGTAAATCTAGTTAACATCATTACCTCATATAGTTACAATTTTTTTCTTGCAATGAGAATTTTTAAGATGTACTCCCTTAGCAACGTTCTTTTTTTTCTTTTCTCCCTTAGCAACTTTCAAATATGTAGTACAGTACTATCATCTATAGTCACTATGCTATAATTACATCCCCAGAACTTTTTTTTTTTTAATATATTTTATTGATTTTTCACAGAGAGGAAGGGAGAGAGATAGTTAGAAACATCGATGAGAGAGAAACATCGATCAGCTGCCTCCTGCACATCTCCCACTGGGGATGTGCCTTACATCCCCAGAACTTTTTATCTTACTGCTTCAGTATGTACTTTCTGGTCACCTTCACTCACCTCCTGCCCTCCTGCCCCCCAGTCTGTTCTCTGTTTCACTGTTAGGTGTTTTTTTTTTTCTCCCCAATTCCACTTATAAGATCACATATAAATGAGATCATTCCTGTGAGGATATCCTTCTCCCCCACTGATTTTTAGAGAAAATGGAAGGGAGGGGGAGAGACACAGAGAGAAAAACATGGAAGTTAGAGAGTCACATCTATTGGTTGCGACAGGGGCTGGGATGGAGCCTGCAACCCGGGAGGTACGTGCCCTTTGACCTTAATGGAACTGGGGACCGAGGTCTGCGGGAGCAGACACTCTATCCACTGAGTCAAACTGGCTGGGGCATTGGCACTCTTCTACTGCAGTGTTTTTAAATATCTTGAAATGCAAACTAATTGCTTCTGAGTGTCTTTTTTTTTATATATATGATATCTCAAATCCCACAGTATCAGGTTGAGGAAAATCTTAAATCGCTATTTTGCAGGACTAGGAGAAACCTTGGAGAAAAACTAGGAGGGGAGGTGCGAGCGGCGGAACCTATGATGAGAGGACAGCAGGAACTGAAGGGACGGAGGAGGGATTTCAAGACAGGACGAAGGTCGGTTGGGTTTACCCGACGGACCGGAACGACTGGCGAGAGTCTCAGCACCATGGCGGGTCCTGTCAGCTTGCGAGAGCTTCTAGTGGGAGCTTCCGCCTGGAACAGCCCCGAAAGCACGGAGGGGGCCCCTGCAGAGGGCGGAGGGAGCGCGGCGGGCGGACCGGAGCCGCCTTGGCGAGAGGATGAGATCTGCGTGGTGGGAATCTTTGGCAAGACGGCTCTGCGACTGAATTCCGAGAAGTTCTCACTTGTGAACACGGTGTGCGACCGACAGGTCTTTCCCCTTTTTCGCCACCAAGATCCTGGCGATCCAGGGCCTGGAACCAGGACCGAGACGGTCGCCGCCGGGGAGGCTGGTGGAGCGGGCGACCCTGGGGCTGGGGCCGCGGATCCAGATCGGGGGTGTGTAGCGGCCGCGGAAGGTAACCAAACCGGGCCAGGCCCTCAGGACTACAGCCTTCTGCAGGCCTATTACAATCAGGAAAGCAAAGTTCTGTACCTTCTTCTCACGTCCATCTGTGACAATGCCCAGCTTCTGCGGGCTTGCCAGGCCCTTCAGAGTGGGGAAGCTGGAGGTGGCCTCCCTTTACCGCATGCAGAAGCACACGAGTTCTGGAAACATCAAGAAAAACTGCAGTGCCTCAGCCTCCTCTACCTTTTCTCCGTCTGTCACATCCTGCTTTTGGTCCACCCCACTTGTTCCTTTGACATCACTTACGATCGAGTATTCAGAGCCCTGGATGGACTCAGACAGAAAGTACTGCCCCTCCTCAAAACAGCCATTAAGGATTGTCCAGTTGGCAAAGACTGGAAACTAAACTGCCGACCTTGCCCACCTAGACTTCTTTTCCTCTTTCAACTCAATGGAGCCCTCAAAGTGGAGCCCCCTCGGAACCAAGACCCAGCACACCCAGACAAACCCAAGAAGCATTCTCCCAAAAGGAGACTGCAACATGCCCTGGAGGACCAGATTTATAGAATCTTTCGGAAGAGTCGTGTATTGACTAATCAGAGTATCAACTGCCTCTTTACTGTGCCTGCCAACCAAGCTTTTGTGTACATAGTTCCAGGAAGCCAGGAGGAGGACCCGGTAG